TACTCTACACAGCAAGATTATCATTTAAATTTGAAGGCGGGATTTAAAAATTTCCAGATAAGCAAAAGCTGAGAGAATTTACCTCCCATAAACTGTCTCTACTCTACACTGTATTTTGGAGGGACTGCTATAGATGGAAGTGCTCCTAAGGCTAAATAGCTGTCACCAGAGAAAATAAAACCACAGTAAAGAAAGCAGACCAATTAATAATCAGCAGATGCAAAATAAAATAAACCATCCCCAAGGTAAGCCAAGGGATAGACAAAGAGTAAAGAATATGATGCCTAATATAGTAAGAATGGAGGAGGAAGAAAAAAACAGAAACTTTAAATTGTGTTTGTAATAGCATATGAAGTTAGTTAAATAGGAAGTTACCCTTGAACCTTTGGTAACCATGAATCTAAAGCCTGCAATGGCAATAAGCACATACCTATCGATAATCTCCATAAATGTAAATGGGCTGAATGCACCGATCAAAAGACATAGAGTCACTGAATGGATGTAAAACAAGACCCATCTGCTGAGAAGAGACTCACTTTAAACCCAAAGACATACAAAGAATAAAAGAGAAGGGATGCAAAAACATATTTCATGCAACTAATAGGGAGAAAAATGCATGAGTTGCAGTTTTTATATCAGACAAAATAGACTTTGGAACAAAGAAACTAACAAGAGACAAGGACATTAGATAATGATAAAGGGGTCAGTCCAACAAGAGGATATAATTATTATAAATACCTATGCACCCAACACAGGAGCATCTACATATGTGAAACAGATACAAACAGAATTAAAGGGGGAAATAGAATGCAATGCATTCATTTAGGAAACTTGAACATACCACACACTCCAAAGGACAAATCAACCAGACAGAAAATAAGTGAGGAGACAGAGGCTCTGGACAACATATTAGAACAGATGGACCTAATGGACATCTACAGAACACTCCACCCAAAAGCAGCAGGATACGCATTCTTCTCAAGTGTACATGGAACATTTTCAGGAACAGGTCATATACTAGGCCACAAAAAGAGCCTCAGTAAATTTAAAAAGGTTGAAATTGTACCAGCCAGCTTCTCAGAACACAAAGGTATGAAATGAGAAATAAATTATGCAAAGAAAACCAAATAGCCCATAAACACATGGAGGATTAACAACATGCTCCTAAATAATCAATGGATCAATGACCAAATAAAAACAGAGATCAAGCAATATATAGAGACAAATGACAACAATAATTCAACAACGCAAATTCTGTGGGATGGCATGAAGGCTGTGCTAAGAGAGAAGTCTATTGGATTACAGGCCTACCTCAGGAAAGAAGAACAATCCTATAGGAGCAGTATAAACTTACAATTAATAAAACTAGAAAAAGAAGAACAAATGAGGCCCAAAGTCAGTATAAGGAGGGATATAATAAAGATTAGAGCATAAATAAATACAATTGAGAAGAATAAAACAATAGACAGAATCAATGAAAGCAGGAGCTGGTTCTTTGAGAAAATAAACAAAATAGATAAATGCCTAGCCAGACTTATCAAGAAAAAAAGAGAGTCAACACACATAAACAGAATCAGAAATGAGAAAGGAAAAATCATTATGGACACCACAGAAATACAAAGAATTATGACAGAATATTATGAAAAATTTTATGCTAACAAACTGGATAACCTAGAAGAAATGGACAACTTTCTAGAAAAAGATACAACCTTCCAAGTCTGACCCAGGAAGAAACAGAAAATCTGAATAGGCCAATTACCAGCAATGGAATTGAATTGGTAATCAAAAACTACATAAGAACAAAACCCCTGGACCAGCTGACTTCACCACTAAATTTCATCAAACACTTAGTGAAGACCTAATACCCTTCCTCCTTAAAGTTTTCCAAAATATAGAAGAGGGGGGAATACTTCCAAACTTCCAATGAGGCCAGCATCACTCTAACACCAAAATCAGGCAAAGACACCACAAAAAAGAAAATTACAGACCAATATCCCTGGTGAATACAGATGTAAAAATACTCAACAAAATATTACCAAAATGAATTTTTTAAAAATCAGAAAGATCATTCATTATGATCAAGTAGGGTTTGTTCCAGGGATGCAAGGATGATACAATATTTGAAAATCTATCAACATCATCCACCACATCAACAAAAAGAAGGACTAAAACCACATGATCATCTCCATAAACACTGAAAAAGCATTTTGACAAAACTCAACATCCATTCATGATAAAAATTCTCAACAAAATGGGTATAGAGGGCAAGTACCTCAACATAATAAAGGCTATATATGACAAACCCACAGACAACATCATACTTAACAACGAGAAGCTGGAAGCTTTTCCTTTAAGATCAGGAACAAAACAAGGATGCCCACTCTCCCCACACTTTTATTCAACATAGTTCTGGAGGTCCTCACCACAGCAATCAGACAACACAAAGAAATAAAAGGCATCCAGATTTGTAAGGAAAAAGTTAAACTGTCACTATTTGCAGATGACATGATATTGGACATAAAAAAAACTCTAAAGAATCCACTCCAAAGCTACTAGAATGTCAGAATTCAGCAAAGTTGTAGAATACAAATTAATACACAGAAATCTGTTGCATTCCTATACACTAATGATGAACTAGCAGAAGGAAGTCAGGAAAACAATTCCATTCACAATTGCATCAAAAAGAATAAAATGCCTAGGAATAAACCTAACCAAGGTAGTGAAAGACCTATATTCTGAAAACTACAAGACAGTCATGAAAGAAATTAAAGAAGAGACCAATAAATGGAAACACATCCCATGCTCATGGATAGAAAGAATTAACATTGTCAAAATGGCCATCCTCCCTAAGGCAATCTACAGACTCAGTGCAATCCCTATCAAAGTACTAACAGCACTCTTCAACAACCTAGAGAAAATAGTTCTAAAATTCATTTGGAACCACAAAAGACCCCGAATAGCCAAAGCAATCTTGAGAAGGAAGAATAAAGCTGGGGGGATTACACTCCCTAAGTTCAAGCTCTACTCCAAAGCCACAGTAATCAAAACAATTTGGTACTGGCACAAGAACAGACCCATAAACAGAATAGAGAGCCCTGATATAAACCCAAGCATATATGGACAATTAATATATGATAAATGAGCCATGGACATACAATGGGGAACTGACAGCCTCTTCAACAGCTGGTGTTGGCAAAACTGGACAGCTACATGTAAGAGAATGAAACTGGATTATTCTCTAACTCCATACACAAAAGTAAACTTGAAATGGATCAAAGACCTTTATGTAAGTGATGAAACCATAAAACTCTCATATATAAACATGAGCAACTTTTTCCTGAATGCATCTCCTCAGGTCAAAAAGCAAAAATGAACAAATGGGACTACAACAAGCTAAAAATGTTCTGTACAGCAAAGGACACCATCAGTAGAACAAAAAGGCATCCTACAGTATGGGAGAATATATTTGTAAACGACATATCTGACAAAGGGTTAACATCCAAAATATATAAAGAATTCACATGCCTCAACACCCAAAAAGCAAATAACCCAATTAAAAAATGGGTGGAGGTTGTGAACAGACAACTCTCCAAAGAAGAAATTCAGATAGCCAACAGCCACATGAAAAGATGCTCCACACTGCTAATTATCATGGAAATGCAAATTAAAACCACAATGAGATATCACCTCACACCAGTTAGGATGGCCAACATCAAAAAGACTAGGAACAGCAAATGCTGGCAAGGATGCAGAGAAAGGGGAAGCATCCTATACTGCTGGTGGGAATGTAAACTAGTTCAACCATTGTGGAAAGCAATATGGTGTATACTCAAAAAACTAAAAATAGAAATACCTTTTGACCCAGGAATTCTACTCCTAGGAACTTACCCAAAGAAAACAAGTTCTCAGATTCAAAAAGACATATGCACCCCTATGTTTATTGCAGCACTATTTACAATAGCCAAGATATGGAAGCAACCTGTGTCCATCAGTAGATGAATGGATAAAGAAGAGGTGGTACATATACACAATGGGATATCATTCAATCGTAAGAAAGAAACTAATCGTACCATTTGTAACAACATGAATGGAGGTAGAGGGTATTTTGCTCAGTGAAATAAGTCAGGCAGAGAAAGACAAGTACCAAATGATTTCCCTCATTTGTGCAGTATAACAATGAAGCAAAACTGAAGGAACCAAATAGCAGCAGACTCACAGATTCCAAGAAGGGACTAGTGGTTACCAAAGGGGAGGGTTGGGGGAGGGTGGGTGGGGAGGAAGGGAGAAGGGGATTGAGGGTTATTATGGTTAGTTCACATGGTGTGGGGGAGATCATGGGAAAGACAGTATAGCAGAGAGAAGACAAGTAGTGAATCTGTAGCATCTTACTCCACCGATGGACAGTGACTGCAATGGGGTATGTGGGGGACTCGGTAATATGGGTGAATGTAGTAACCACATTGTTTTTCACGTGAAACCTTCATAAGAGTTTATATCAATTATACCTTAATGAAAAAAAGAGGCATCTCAAAATTCAGTGCAATATTATAAACAAGTTCCAAATAAGATGTAAATATTTGCCAAAAAATAGTAATGGCCAATAAAAAGGAAAAAGTCAAGCAACTCATAAGAAACCAACCATATCCAAGATATTTTCTACTTAAAAGATTTCCAGTAAGATCTGCTTATCAAAGATCGCTCATATTTATTGGTAATAATTAGCATAATCCTTCCTACTCTTAGAATGTCAACTGAGGAAACAGGACAAAACAAAAAAAGGCTTTTTTAATTCCAGTAAAAATTTTTTGGAACAAAGACCCAACTATTGGAAAATAATCACATAAATTAGGTTCTAGAATTACATAGCCACTTAGAAATATTCATGAAGAGTTTATTATGAGAAAATGCTTAAAGTATAATGTCAAATGGGAACATCACTTTATTAAATGCACACACTCAAAATTCTACAATCCTGTGAAGCAGGACGTCACACAGGTGACTCAGTCATGGTGGTGGTTTCCAGGTCTGCCTGCCTGAATTTCTACACTAAGGAGACAAACACGTCTACCTGCTTGATAGAACTGGAATGACTCATGGCTGGCATTGCTGGCAACAGAGATGGGCCCCACTGCCGCCACGGCCTTCGTGAGGGCCTTCTCCCGCTGAGGGACATCCACGAAGCCAGGGTTATTGGCGGCGGCAAACCTGGGCTTGTAGTTACAGGCATCTGTGTCCTTTTAAAGGCAAATGGAAAAGAAACTTGATGGCCACCATCCATCTCCTGGGGAACATGAGTTCCAGGTCCACAAAACAGCAGTTTGCAGCTTAATGATTTCCCAGAACTTTGTTATAAAGCAGCCCAGAAAGCAAAATACTTTCGGTTGGTTTGAAATGGAGAAATTAGCAGATGTTTCTTCAATGAGACCCCTTGGGGCTGTCCATAAGACACTTTTCACCATGGAGAAATCTGCATTATATGCAGAATGTTGATGTATTCTCCATGTTCCACAGAAGTAAGAACAGCTATACTGCTGACTGCAAAAGCTGGTAATTCACAATGACAGTTCTGGCAGTTTGCAAAGAATGTGAATGCTGAATAAGGTTCCTGTTATCTCTGAAAATTAACTTTGAGAGCAGAGCTGGAATAATAAGATAAGGAACCTCATTTACCCTTGCAAGGTATGGATAGGATTCCTCTGAGTCCAGGCCTCCATTGTCTTTAACATACTGGAAGGCATTGTCCATTAGGCCACCATTGCAGCCCTCATTGCCTTGAGACTGAGAGCAGTCCCCCAGGTCCTGCTCACTCAGTGAATCAAGGTTACCAGTTTTCTGGAACATCTGTCCTTCCAGGGCACCAGTTGCACTAAAAGCCCAGCAAGAACCACTCTGTGTGGCTTTAAGCAGGCCCTGGCCTCTGGAACCCTGGGACACTGGGCTGGCCGCCACACATCGGGTGCTGAGAGACCTGCAGAGCCAGTGCCTGGGCAGCATGAATGCTGATGGATGAATCCACTGCAGCCCTGAATGGTCCCTCATGGTGGTCTACCTGGTGCCCACCACCTGCAACAGTCAGTGGGCGGTCCCAGGCACTGGAAATTCTGCCACACCCTTTGACTTTTGGTGAGGTCTCCTCCGGGGCATGGGGCTGGCTGCCCCTCATGGTGGGGACTTAGTGACATGTGCCCAGGTGACATCACAATTGTAGTTGCTGGTCAGCTAGCTCAGTGTGTGCTTGGCCTCGAGAAGTGTCAGAAGCAAAGGAGATGTTCTCCTAGTTTCATACTCTGTTCTCGGATCCTTTTGCACACAACTGATTGTCTGCATGGGCAATTTCCTTTTTAAGTTCCGTGCCCCACCCCACCACCTCTGTCATTGTCGTCTGCTTCTCCCACCCCAGGACACTGCCCCTCCTGCCACGGAGCACCCCGCTGTTCCTGCACCTGCTGACTGCCCTGGTCACGGGCTGATCTACCCAGATCGTGTGCCACTATCAGGGGGCTTTTCCATCCAGCTGCAGAGGTGATATCCTACCCAGCTTCCAGATGCTCCCCACCGGGTGTCCTGCCCTTGATGAACTGGAGAGACCCGCCGAATGTCGCGCGCCCCGTCCTCGCCGGCAAGAACAGCACGCAACAGCAGGATTCTTCTGCAGAAAGCTTTATTCTTCAGCTCTTTGTGAAACAAATGAGTTGGGCAGGACCCAGAGGGGAAGGAGAGGCTTGCTTATATAGTTCTCATGCTCTGACCTGGTTGGTGCGGCTCCATATGCCTTATTAGCATAACCATTTGGTGGGTCTCATTGGTCCTTATGCCAAGGCGCAATTAGCATGTAGTTTAGTGGTGTGGGATGATTTGTCATTAGGAAGTTCGGGGCCTTCCGGCTGCCCTGCATTGGGCGCTATTTTCTGAGCG